TTAGTTTTTTCACTAGCATTTATAGTAATATAATCATTACGTCGATCCCATTTAATTATATCTTCTGTTTCTTTTTCCTTTCCTGTTGCTATCCTCATGAAATCACTAAATAATTGAAGTTCATATAATTTTCGTAATATGAATTTCCAATCATATCCTAAATTATTCCACCCTTCAGTTTTTTCAGGTCAAAAATTATAATACAATTGTGCTTTAACTAAATAAAATGCTTCTTGTATTTTAACATATACTAAATCACAATTATCATTAATTTTTTCATATTCTACAGGAAATTCATCATTTTGCATTAATATTGCTACAATATAAAATGGTTTTATTTCTCGTCCTTTAAAAAAAACAAATACACCCATAAATGCTCGATCCTGTATAAATCCAGTAGAAACTCTTCCTAATTCATTCTTTTTTAAATTATCAATATCAACAGTTTCATAATCAAAATACATTGATATATATGCATCAAAATCATCTTCAAATTTTAACATTCTATAATTAAATTTATTTTGATACATATCTTTAGATAACGTTCTATTTGTTTTAAAAGTTTTAGATAATGGAAATCCTCTTTTAACTCCATCAATAACAACTTGAGTTCTTGGTGCTATAAAAACTGAATAAAGAGTTGAAATATCATCTTCATATAAATCAAATATCTCATAATTTTCACCTTTATTCTTAATATTCAATTGTATTTTTTTAATTATTTGTTTTCTAATATTATGATTCATAAAAAATACTCGTAAAAAATGAAATTTTTTTCCAAAAACATCTTTAGTATCTATAGTCCAACTTGTATAATTTAAAGATGTTATAAAATTAAGTATTTTTAGTATTTTTGTATTATCATTTTGTTCATTTTCTTCATTAATCTTGAATTCGCAATAAACAGGAAATCCTGAAATAAGGATCCAAACATCAAGACCATTTGTAGCAACACATTTAACTTTCATATAATATTCATGTGTATAATAATCTTCATAATCTTCTATAATTTGCATTGAATATAAATTATCAGAAGGATAATAATTCCCAGTAAAATCCTTACGTGTTTTAATCATTTTATTAAATAAAAAAATAATAATAACAAAATAATATTGATAAAAATAAATAAAATATATTA